CCAAAGTCCGTGTGTATACTTGGGATGGGTACTGATCTGCTGCCCAAGGCTCAATAGATTCCCTAGGCCTCCTCACTGACACCCAGATTCAGGAGGTCTTGATCAGTCCCATGCTGGATTCCCAGGCTGATGCCTAGGATTCAAGAGTTAACCTTTGTCTGGTCAGCTGTTTCTGGGGGGTTAAACCAGCCCAGTCTTAATCCCTTTGATCATCAGTCCTCCCTCTCTGTTACTGGCTTTCTTGAGTTCAGCTCAGTACTTAACCAAGGGAGTCTGCCTCTTATTCGATCAGCCACTAAATGAAGTTTCTGTTTCCCAGACTCTCTGGCCATAGGATTGTAGGCTGGCACTCCCCAGATCTATGTCTAAAATCCATATATGAGAGAGTACATGCCATGTTTCTCTTTTTGTGACTGGGTTACCTCACTCAGGTGGTTTCTTCGAGTGTCATCCATTTGCCTGCGAATCTCATGATTCCGTTATTTTTTTCTGCTGAATAGTACTCCATTGTGTAGATGTACCACATTTTCTCTATCCACTCTTCGGGTGAGGGACATCTAGGTTGCTTCCAAGTTCTGGCTATTACAAATAAAGCTGCTATGAACATAGTGGAACAGACTTCTTTGTTGTATGAATGGGCATCTTTTGGATATATGCCTAAGAGTGGAGTTGCTGGGTCTTGTGGTAGGTTTATTCCCATTTTTCTGAGGAATCTCCATACTGATTTCCAAAGTGGCTGAACCAGTTGGCACTCCCACCAGCAATGGAGGAGTGTCCCCCTTTCACCACATCCTCTCCAGCATAAATTGTCATTGGTGCTTTTGATTTTAGCCATTCTGACAGGAGTGAGATGGTATCTCAGAGTTGTTTTGATTTGGATTTCCTGGATGGCTAAGGATGTTGAGCACTTTCTCAAGTGCCTCTCAGCCATTTTAGACTCCTCTATTGAAAACTTTCAGAATGGGAACAAAAATAAAAAGGTTTTTTTATAATTTCCTTTCCTTGCATATAAGCCAAGTAATTCTTTGCACATAAGCTGATTAGTACAACATACAATGCTAATTGTAGAACATCACATTGACAGACTAAGAAAATATATCAGGTAAAACCCTTGAGTATATTTATCATAAAATTGAGCCAAATGCTTTGTTTGTGTTGTAACGTATTTCATTGAGGGGGAAAATAAACCTGTCCCAAAATACCACAAGGCTCAACCCTATTCAAAGAACTACAGGTAACTAAAGAATTCTCAGAATGAGATAAATATCCTTTCCCAGGGAAGATCACACCAATTTTTTATGCAACACCAAATAATCAGTTCTGCAAACAAACAGGTAGCCTTATACCAGCAGAGTAGGTTGTGTTTTGGAACGTGTGTGTTTGTGTGTGTGTGTGTCTATATGTATATGAAAAGACTTAATGACAAAAGAGGTCTTGAATTTGAGAGCAAGCAGGGTTGTATGGGAAACTGGAAGGGATTAAAAGGAAGGGGCAATGGTGCAATTATAGTCAAAAATAAATAATTTTTCCAAAAATTATTCCACATTTCATCAACAGGTATTTTGTTTAAACACATAATCTCTGACCTATATAGAACTAAATGTGATATGAATCAGAAACATTAAAACAAAGATCTGAATATCTCATTACATATATCCAGAAGTTCCAAGGTTTTAAATTGTTAAACTTATTTTGTTTAATCTTTCCACAAGATGTGAGAAAACAACAGGTTAACACAAGATAAACAAAAGTACACTGAGATAAGCATTTTACAAGAATTATTTAGTAAAGGAATATATAAGGGATTTCCTATGTGGAGACTATTCAATACTATTAGATTAAAAAAAAAACATCAGAGCAACAGAATCTAATTCAGAAGTCCATGACATGGGCATGCCCTCTCCCACCCATGCATTAATAGCTGTGAGTTAGAGGCAGCTGAAATGGGTACTTTACTCCAGGGTTAGGAGATTAATAATCACAAAGAGTTTTGAATAACAATTTGACAATCAAAAGCTTTAAAGTGTTTAGCTGTCTCTGCTTTGGCAATTTACATCTAACATGGATAAGTTCCTTTAAACTAAAGCACTTTGAATTAAAGTGTGTGCAAGGAAGTTATTTATAATAGTTAAAACAAATAAAATGTCCTATAGTTAGAAAATAATTAGACTTTTCTAGCCAAATTGTAAATATTAAAAAACAACTGAAGATTATGTTTGTGCAGAGATAGTTGCAATATGGGAACACTTTGGATGGAGTTAATAAAAACAATGTAAATAATTACTTACACACAAACTTCAATTTTGGCTATGAGGAAACTCACCTTAACTCTGAGTACAAATGAGTACAGGGCTTCCTTAGAGAAGTATGCCCACTGAACTGAGGAGTTCAGTTACATGGTATGCCCACCAATAAATCTGATAAAATATGAGCAAAGGAGAGACCACAAAATGCAGGAACTAGCCATCACTAATTACAAGGATCAAAAAAAATAATCAAGGGAATTTTAGAATCAATAGTATTCACACCTGAAGGAAAAAATACTTTACAGTTGCCATTTTATATAGTCAAGAGAGAATAAAAATAGTCTGATTGTTGAACCTTGTCTACTCTCACTCCTTAAGCAGCTGCTCTAGTTGATTCTTTGATGAACTACTTTCTTGTGTACTAATTTCAGGCATAAGGACTTGCAAAAAGAGGAGTTCTAGGGCACAATCCTCTTAGCATACTTTAGAATATCTAGAACTCCTGGAAGTTCTCATAAGATTGCTCTGAAAAACACTGGTAAGATAAAGGGAAAGGTGGCATTATTACCAAGAACACAAGTACACATCTTTGGTGGATCTCTAAGTAAAACTGTGGAGTTTTCTAAATGTGAGAATGAGCATGTTTGAATGGAAAATATTGAGAATGCTCATCCTGTCAAGCATTTGATGGGGAATTGTCTTCTGTATATGTTTATCTTATTGATTGATGAATAAAACACTGTGGTCACTATGACAGCATGATAGGTGGAAATAGGAGACAAGAAGGATTATGGGAAGTATAGGCAGAGAGTCAATCATCATGTAGGATCTGAAAGGAGTAACAGGTCTGGACTCTTCCTCTGGTAAGATAAGGCCATTTAGAAATACTTAGATTAATAGAGATGGCCTCACAACTAAGACAGAGCTAGACAATAAGAAAGACTAGTCACTGGCCAACATTTTATAACTAATAGAGCGCCCGTGTGTTTCTTTAGGACTGAAACGTGTAGTGGGACCTGCCTGGCTGGAAAACTCACCTTAGAGTCTTACACATCTCCATTTGTCTTGACAACTTCCTGTTGCTTGGAAATGAGGTAATGATTTCATTACAGTAGATGCCTTTACTTCATGATGTTCTCATCTGGACACATCCTTTAGTTCTTAATGCCTACAAGTGGTGCCAAATAAGGACATAGAGAGTAATAAGTTTCTGTGGAAAAGGAAATTATCTACCTTCCAATGGATTGCAGGTTCATAAAATGTATGCCTACCATAACCAGGTTTACTCATGTTGATGGCTTAAAGCAGTGAAAGAAGTCATATAATCCTGTAGTGAGGAAACAATTGACATTGGAGGCTTTACTTTATAAGAATTTCAGACCTTGTTCTGTTGTGTTATGATTTCCCTTTAGGACAGGAGTTCTGAGTAGATACTTTTCCTTTTACCATCCATTTTGGAAGGAAGTCTTCATGACACAGGATATTAAAGGTGATAGGAAGTAAGATGTTTTATGGCTAGATGTTATAAGGGGAGGTGGAACAGTCCATCCTACAGGGAAACTCAATTAGCCCAGGGGGTAGACAACTCAAAGGTTTCAGGAGGCCCCCAAAACTGACCAGATTCACTAGGTACTCCTTCCTTGATCATAAATAAGTAGTAAGGGTTGTTGAGAATCACTCTCAGAGAAGCCCAGGTGCATGGAAGAAACAGAGCTCAGACAAACTAAACTAAGAGGTTCAGACCAACTGACTGAAGGAGAAACCACACTCTCCAATTTGTTGAGTTATCAACAAGTTGTATAGTGTGCTTTGTGTTTCTAGCTTCTAGAAGTATCATTCAGGCTTGGAAGGATTTTGCTTATGTGGCTGCCTTTGAGTAATTTTTGCATCTGTAAGCAACCTGTTACCCATATTCTTTTTTTTTCATTTATCCATCCATTTATTTTTGACAAGTGCTGGGAATGGGACCCAGGGTCTTACACATAATGGACGAGTGCTGAGTCACACCCAGCTCCATAAGAGTTGTCAGGTAGGTCCATGAAGTTAACTGGTCACTCCGCACTTGTTGCTAGCAGACAGAAGGCAGACTGCCTTTTTGTTCACAGTGCCCCAGGCAATAGGATCTTATACCTCCAGGTGTATCTGTGTCCCAAGTCTCACTCCAAGGACTGTGTGGAGAACACTGTACTGGATGTTTGGCATTTTAGATGACTCTGGGCCAACCAACCGTCATAGGAGTGAGAAAGTAGCCCTAGTGCAGCAGCTTTAAGAAAGTCCTCATTGGCAGCTGCTGTACTGGACAGATTGGCTTGCAGCAGATGTAAGGCCCTTAGCCTGGACCCTTAGGTGCAGCAGTGCTTATCCCTTACCCACACTGAGTGCCCTGGCTGAATCCAGCTATGTTCATTGTTCATTGTTAAGTACAGGAGGTCAGCAAACAGACACTGCAGCACACTCATTCATTCCAATGTTCTCCTTCCTCTGAACCTGCATCACACCCCTGACTTCTGTCCTGGTATCTGACTAGTTTACCTCGACACACAGCTGCAGGACCAGGTCCTGGGAGCAGAGTTCAGGAGGAAGAAGTTCCAGCAGCTCACATGACACACCCTTGCAGCCATGGCTCTGAAAATGCTCACCAGAGTGAGTCCCTGCTGTGCAGAGACCTGATGGGCCTCTGTGGTGCCATCCCAACTGCTGCTGGATTGAGGAGTCACTAAAGGATGGAAGGGTGGTGACAGCAGTAGGTTGAAGCTAAGCGTACTGGCTGCAGCAGTTTGGGGTGGCGGCGGCTTGGGGGCGCTGGTCTGCAGTAATGCTCTCCCACTCCGGTTTTGCCATGATGTAAAGCCTCATCACTGCCTGGGCATCCTGGACCGAACAATGCTCTGCCTGCTGGACCCTGATCCCCAGAATTTTCTCAGAAAGTTGTTTCAGAGATGGCCTTCCACTCCTTACTTGACTCCTGAAAGGTTTGAATTTCTGGGTGTCCCTGATTTTCTTCTTTGGATGATCAAGGAACAGAACCTTTAAATCATTGTGCAGCGCATGTCCAACCAGGATTCTGCCCTTCAACATTTCTGCCACTTCCTTCTTCACCACTTCAAATTCTTCTCCCTGCTTCAGGTTCTCATCCCACTGACTGCTGTCCTGTAGTCTGTCACCGGCTCAGTTGGCTTGATGTACTTGTCATAAATACATTTCCCATACTGGTTCACGATGGACACACAGGCTGAGATGCTCTCTTCCCCATTGGGACCCACGCCTACCATCTCACAATCCAGGGCCAAGGCTTTTGTCAGGCCGCTAAAGGCCTGTTCCTTCTCCAGGGAGATGGCTTTCTTGCTCTTCTGACCTTGCCGCTTCCGTACCAGCATGGCTGCCTCTGGGCCTATGGCAGCCTCAATATCATCTGGATCCACATCATCAAACCAAATGTCTTCCTCAGTAGGTGAGGACTGATTCAAGACAACAGCTGCCTCCTTAGCTTTCCACTTATGCTTGATGTCCCCCTGATGAGAAGAGATGTCACTGTATGTCCTCTTCTTGGCACCATTCTTCTGTTCTGTTCCAGAGGAATTTGTGGGAGGTCCAGGTCTCTTCCTGTCCTTCTTAGGCAGAGCCATAACAGAACCCCGGATGGTCTGGTCTTTTTCTGTCCTCTTCCCATCTCCCTTTGATTTATCTGAGGTCTCTTTTTTGTTCTGCTGGATTATTTGGGGATGCCTGTTGCCATCCATCTGAGAGACAAATAGTTTTTCTGGGGCTTGTGACTTCTGTTTCAGCAGCTCTAGGAGCGTCTTCCAGTTTTGAGAAAAGTTCTCTGGGGCCTTTGGCAGTCGGCCTGAGACAGCGTCCAGGAGGCTTCCCGGGGCCACACTTCCTCCCTGTGCTTTGCTCTTCTTGGACCTCTTCCTGGCTTTCTTCTGAGCGAGCTTCTTGGCAGGCTCAGGTTGGAACACCGGCACGGTGGCCTTCGCCTTCATCCTGTCGCTCTCAGCAGCCCGACCCTGAAGGGAAACGACTGGAACTCAGTAGCGACCGCGGAAGCACGCCCCCAGAAGCCTACCCATATTCTTCTAAGTAACCCCAACACAACTTATTGGTCTACCAAGTGGGACAGTAGAATCCCTAATTTGGTCTATTGTCAGTTCCTATCTGGAATGAATCTATGTTTGATTCCAACTCCCTTTGAATAATATCTCATAACAGGTAGTCAGTAGTAAAAAAGTAGAGGTTAGAGAATATCTTTGAAATGGAGCGAGACAATAAGACAATTTGTGAAAGTAGTAATAAAATAACTAGTTTTACTGAGCTTAAACAAAAAAGTCTGAATTAACTATTTGGAAGTTACACGGGGCATGTTATGAAACAAGCAGGTAGTTGTGGTTTTGTGTGGGCTGAGGCTAAAATTCTGAGGAATCTAGTGGAGTAGTTACTGTCTGGAGACTAAGGCCAAATTTTGAACATGCTACAAGGAAAGTGGTCCCCATAATCCATGGTTTTATGTAATATTGAAATGGCAAAGAGGTAAGTTGTCTATAACCACTAGAAAGCATGTTACCTATATTTGGGCTTGTGATGGCTTACCACACCAGCATCTGTGGCAGATCCTGAAATGGGTTTGTAATGTGCCAAGTCTGTGTCTGCTCCATAGATATAAGCATGAAGAAATAAAAGCAGAGCAGGTGACACTATTGCAATCATATTTCCATTACTACAACAAAGGAAAAGGATTATCTAGTATCAGTTTCCAGATCTAATTCAACTTTAATTCACTAATGAATGGAAAGTGGAGACTGCTTGAGAAAAGATAGTGTGAAGGTGTTAAATTATAGTTAATTTTCTTCTTTTCCAAGTTTTCCCACAAATCCTGTATAGATATTTTAATCCCTAGCCAATTTTCCCACTATCCTGATATTTTGATTCAGCAATAACTAGTTTGCAAAGGCACTGATAATAATTCACAGGACTAGGTTAAAATATAGGTTATGTATAATTTATTTCAGGGAGAAGTCACTTACACAAGAAGCAGATGGCTGCTACAGGTTCCTGCTCTAAGGATGTGGCTGCTCCCAGTGACCTGATTGGATGCAAAAGAGCCACCTGCGCAGACCCCAGACCTAAACTCACTCCCCATCAAGTCCTCACCTGTGACCATGCCCAAACAGGCATAATCGACACTACAGGTGTGGTAGGGGTGGCTATCTCACTGAAATTCCCCTTTTAGTATAAAGAAACAAATTTAGGCTTGATACAAAACTATATACAAAGATAGCAAATATCAAGTATGCTCTAGGAGAAGGAAAAGTAAAAATAAACACATTAAGACCTATTCTACTGAAGCAACTAGAGCAAAAGACAAGAACTACATATTCAGTCCTAGGGTAAAGGCATAACAGAGATTACTATAGAGTTGTCCTAAGCTGAAAAGTTTAAGTCTTGTACCTAATATTTCTATCTAGGGAGAGAGAACAATAATTGTGAGTCTAATCTTCAACCTCATCAAAGACCTGAGAAGGAGGATAACAATATTAGGGGAGGCAGGAAGTGCAGACGAGCAACTTCAAAAGATGCAGAGAAGACAGAAACAGCAGGCTACCTGACCAGTCACCCAAAGTCTCAGAGCAGTGTAAGGGAAACCAGCTTTGGCCTGGAATATATGACTGACCAATACAGAAGTAGGCAGGTAAAAAGGCTGTCTAACCCTGAGTTGTCAAGTTACAATGGCCATCTAAGTTTATTTCCTGCAAGCATAGTAGGACAATATTCCAAAGTGAGTGGTCAAGATTTGGGCAATTCTTTGCCCAAGAGGCCATTAGCCGAGGAGAGAATGGATTGCAGAAAGAGTGACATTGTTGCCCAACATTTTCTCAGGAACCACTTGGTGCTTTCAGGAGCATTTATGTCTCATGTCAATGGAGTGATAATATTAAAACATTTAAATGCCATATTCTGCAGGTCTATGAAGTATTTCAATATCAAATATCTATGTCTTAATAATCTGATAAATAAGAAACATGTGTGGTAATAGTCTGTATTTCTCAGAAACATTGTTTCACAATGGCTGAAGATTCCCAAAATAATTTAACCAGGAAGACAGTTCAAAAAATGTAACTATGTGCACATATATAATTCTCAACACAGAGATAGAACTGAAATATCTTGACTAGAGATGGAATTGTGAAGTGCAATATGATAAAATATTTAATTTGTACCAATATACAAAATGTATATACATCAAGATAGTTTCATATTTGTGTGTAACATTGTAAAGGGAAAGAAGACCCTAAAGAGTCAACATAAAATAATCTATCAATGTAAGTTATCTATAGCTAACAGCTGCTAAAGTTCGTTCACTAGAAAATATGTTAATCTACCTATATCCAGTCTATCATTCCCATCCATACGCTTAAACTTATCTAAAAGAGATACCTGAGTCTGAGCATCACCTTCCATACCCAACCCTAATCACCTAAAACCAACCCTATACAGGTGAATACTCTCCCTTAAATCCAACAGTAAGGAAAAGGGGCATTGTTTTTTTGGATTACTTCCTACTGAAATGGGATGATGATAACTCAGTGGGATCCTGTAATGAAAAAAATTAGAGCAACAAAAGTCTTGAGAGGACTAGCTAGTCTCTGTGGCAAGAAATGCTTAACTGAAGTTCTTCTCTGAAGTTCTGGCCAGATAAGAAAGTGCACCATTTTACCTAGTTAGTCTGGAGTTGTCTCAAGCCTTATAGTCCCAAACTGGTTTTAGGATGGTGCTTGTTAGTACAGAGGCATCAAGTTCAATCAAGTGAAATCAATGAAGTGGGGCCCCATCTTCTTTTCGGAGAGTTCAAAGGTTGCTGTTAGAAACTGTTTTTCCCCCACTGTGGAGAGCTTAAACATTAATATCAGCACAGAAAGTTTAGCTTCCACAGGTAAACACACAGGGAAAGGTAACAATAAGGATAAAATTAAGAAAGAGGAAAATTAGTATTTTACAGAATACAAAGTTAAGACAATAGTTGTCCTAGATTCTGTTTTCTTCTGTCTTACACCAATGGCCTTTTGATAAGATACAGAAACTCTGAATTTTATTTAAATAACATGTTTGAATTTGGAGAAGCAGGGTCAAGTCCACCTCCAAAGCCATGTTAGATTTCTATGTGAATAGAGACTATGATAGGGCTGGGAAGCAGAGAAATAGAAGACAGGAGTTTAGTATAAATATTTTACCATATGTCATATTCTTTTTGTATGATGGTTCTTTCTGGATAGGTATCCTCTCTTCTTTAGGCATCTACACATTCATGTCTTTTTGTTTTTTGGAGATGTAATTTCCTGTAAAGACAAGAACAAAGCACTCCCCCTATCTTTGTGAGGTATCTTTATAACTCATGGGGTATACCTTGGTGGATGACCTATTATTTCTCCTCATCCAGAGGTTTCTCTTGTTTAAACTGGATCTTAATCAGCTTTGATGGTATCCAAAGTTTTTCTTCTCCTGTAGAAACAAAGGCAAATTACCACATATCTTGGTTTCCATACTGAGGTCAATCCATCCTTGAAGTACACCGTCTAATTTACCCCAGAAGAATTTTTTTGTTGTTCAGTGTCTTTCTGGGGCTGATTTTTCTTTCTCATTAGCATTAAGAAAGTGTAATGTTAGTAAGACATTATGTAATCTGTGTTTGGGGGTCTTTGTTCCCCCTGCCTGTTTAAAGTGCAATTAGATCTCTCAACCATTGCTTGTCCTGTAGGATTATATGGTATTCCAGTTATATGCTTTATGCCAGAACATTAAAAAAACTGTTTCAATTTGGTGGAGACATATGCTGGAGCATTGTGAGTTTTTATTTTTGTAGGTATACCCATAATAGCCATTACCTCTAATAGCTGTGCAATAACAGAATCAGCCTTTTCAGAGCTCAGAACAGTGGCCCATTGAAACGCTAAAAATGTGTCTATTGTATGGTGCACATACATTAATTTTCCAAATTCTGCAAAAGTGAAACACATCCATTCATCAAATTTCATTTCCATGTATACCTTTAAGGTTATTACCTGCTGGTAAGGAGTTTGGTTTTAGAATAAATAAGTAGTACATTTCTTCACTGTTTCCATAGATTGTTGCCAAGTGATAGAAAAATCCTTTTTAAACCTTTGTTGTTCACATGGTGTTTTTTTATGAAATTCTGAAGCCTCCAGCACACTTCCTATTAATAATCAATTTCATCAATACCTTGTGCTAGAGGACCTGGCAGGCCTGTATATGATCTGATGTGTGCTATACATATAGGATTAGTTCTATTTCTGATTGTTTATTGTAAATGTATAAATAATGAAGTTAATTTTGTACCATTAGGAATAAATTCAGCCATCTCAATGTGTAAGATAACTCTCTCTGCATATTTAGAGTCCATAATTATATTGATAAGTTTTGTAAAATCCTTAAGTACCATGAAAATTGCATACAATGCTGCCTTTCATACAAAAGTTTTAAGGGCTTTGGAATACTTTATTTATATTTCCTGATTTATATTCTGCCTTACCTGATTTGCTTGCATCAGTGTAGAATGTAGGGACTCCAGAGATTGTTTTTCTTAGAATGCATGGAAAGATCCAAATCGTTTTCTTTTTTAATTTAATTCTCTTATTTTGGGGATAATTGTTAATTGTTCCCAAAAATTTACTTCAAGTCCTTTGCTAATATTCATTACTTTGCTGGGCTAGTCAAGTGACCCTGCCCGTTTTCAGGTTCAGGGGTGGGCACCAGATGCGGAGGCACTGATAATGATTCATGGGACAAGGTTTAAATATAGGCTAAAAATAATTTATTTCTGGGAGAAGTCATTAACACAAGAAGCATATGGCCGCTGAAGGTTCCCACTCTAAGATGCAAGAGAGTGCCACTTGTCCAAACCTCAGACCTAAACTCACTCCCCATCAAGTCCTCACTTGTGACCATGTCCAAGTGGGTGTGGTTAGCGCTACAGGTAAGG